AGGTCACTTTCTGATCTTTTCAACATTGGAATATGGGTTGGCACAAACAACATAGAGTGAAAACATGAAGCTTACAGTAACAGACACGGAGTTCAAAATGAAATCACTGCAACCTCCAGATTTTCAGGTTGGACCTATGATGCTATCTTTAGAAAGGCCTTGAAGTCATTCCACAGGCCATTTGGAGCCTAATGTTTATGAATGATCAATGTAGTGTCATTGCTTTCTGAATATACTTGTATTTATTCTGGTTTTTATTGTGTTGATTTTATATATAAATTGCAGAGAGTTGGTTGAAGCCAGCTCTATCCAAATGTAATAAATACTTACAAAAGATATTATACTGATATATACATACAGTGAACTTTGGTGATGGAGCTTTTTCCTTTACCTTTCTCTGACAGCTGTCAACACTGAAAACAATGAAGTGTGTATCCTGGAGAAGTGCATGGTAGAGTTGGAGGAGGCCTAGGGGTGCAGCATTACCTAATTCATTCACATTCTTCCCGTGCTTCTCTTCCCCATAGTTCCAAAGTGTTTGATGTTCATTCATATAAACACATATACCAGTGTTTCTCAACCTTGGCAACTTTAAGATGTGTGGACTTCAACTCCCAGAGAGTTGAAGTCCACATAACTTAAAGTTGCCAAGGTTGAGAAACACTGACACATGGATGCACGTGCAGATACTCACAAATATTTGGAAGACAAAAAACTACTTGTTGACTCACTTTATTTCATTTTACATTGTTAGATTTATATCCTGTTTTTCTTCCATGAGCTCAAGGCAACATACATAGTGCTCCCTCTTCCCATTTTTTGCCACAACCACTAACCTATGAAGCAAGTCAGATTGAGAGACAGCAATGGGTCCAAAGCACTCAGTGAACTTCCATGGCTGCGGATGGGCTTGAACCTAAATGCTTCATTTTCATCCAGTGCTCCACTGATGAGTGATGGCATCCATGCCTGCATAGTTCCTCTACAATTTTCTCACAGATTGCAGTGGCTGGCCTACACTGCTGCTGGACCTTGTCTCCAATTTCCAGCATTAAAATTTGTATCATCTATTTGCTCCCATCAGCCTTTGGTGGAGTGCTTTCTTGGCTAGCTCATGATTGCCTCCAGCCAACATATGAATATGCAATGATCTTTCAAGGTAAGATCAAGATGAAGGAAACAAGCAGGTTCCCTGACCTACTCATGCTACAAAGGAACGCTGGTGTTGGCAGCAAGGAATCCAGTCTTGACCTTGTGGCTGGCAGCCAATCAACAAGTATGGAAGACATGGGCTAGAGTTTATAGAGCTGATCCATATCCAGAATTGTGCAATTGTGATTACAACAGTGATCTCCAGAGCAGCCAGTGTTGCCAAAGCCAGAGTGGGAGATCTTGGCAGCAAGTAACCAAGGACTACAGTTTTGACTCTCGCTGGAAGTACCCCGAAGTAGCTGGAGGATGCAATTGCAACTGGTCCACGCAAAATAACAGCAGATGGCAGCATAGCATCTAGTACTGCCAAAGTTGCAATGGGGTAGACAAAACTGGGCCCCTCACAAAGAGTGACCTACGTAATATCAAACAGCTATGGGGATTGCAGGGGGACGCGGTGGCGCAGCGGCTTAATGACGCTGAAAGTTGCCGGCCAGAAATGGTCGACGCTTCAGTGGTTCGAGTCCAGCCTTCGTGTTTACAGGGTGGGCCCCTGGTTTCTCCCCCCTTCC